TGCACATCAAAGTATTCAACGCTAACTTAACGTTAGGCTGCGCAACAAGAAAAACCCATGAACAATAAAAAATAAATACACCAGAATTTTGTTCTAGCAACTAATTTATACTTAAATTTAAAAATTTTGTATGCACAACATCAAAATATTCAACACTAAAGAGTGGATACGCTAACTTAACGTTAAGTTTGCATACCTGCATAAGAAAAACTCATGAAACTAAAACGTGAATACACTTACATTATTCAATATATCAACTCATGTTATATTGTTTTATAGTATTGGCTAATTTTAGATGCAAGCACAGTGAAATATAATCCTATATTTTATTCCAATTTTAAGCTTTTAATACTTTTTCAGTGTCTACTTAAAAAATAGTACTTTTTTAGAGGCCTAAAACGTAAGTCAACATTCGATATCTATTTATGATGCAGTGAACACTTCACCCTCTGTCGCTTTACTCACGTAGTTGGTGATAATTACTGTCTCCGGAATTGTATCTTCCTTGTCCTGTCCTCTACCCTCAATGAATTCCACCCACCCCCACACACTTACAGGCACCACATGTTGGGAGACCAGTTGGGTGCCTCGAGCTTGTCCCGGCTCGCGCGGTGCCCCGCCTGGGGAGGTTCCTATGTTATTTCTTACGTCCCACCAAACTTCTGAAACTTTCCCCCTTAATATGTAATTTAATGCTGAGTGAAGTGCATCTCAGCAAAAATAAACGTAAAGGACGACTGCCATCAGATTCCACGGATCCCTATCAAGTATTGGAGACAATCACCGAACATTCGAACTAGCTTCTCAACTGTACGTTGACACTACAAACTACGTCATTAAATATATAAAACTATTTATGAACCAACTAATCGTTGACTAAATATCATATGTCAAGATCAGGAAAACACAATGTTAAGTGTATGCATATAAACACATATGCATTCATCCGGGCGTACGAATAGCCAACGCACTTTAAAATTAATGAACGTATTTTTGATATTAATTTTTGTTTCGTTCCCAGATTACACGACCTTCAAGTCAATTCACCGATTGACCATCATAATTCTCGTGATCTTTTCCTTTTTTAGAATGCAATTGTTCTCTCCACCGCGCCACGATGACCGCCATCTCTTGGTTTACGAAGGCCCTCACACGCAAACCTATCCTCCTGTGAGAGAAGCAAGGCCATCTCTCTTCATGAATCCTGAAGGATTTGTTCCTGCTCTAAAAACCGATGATGCTACAAAAACCTATCAATGTTCGAAGGGAGGTCCTTACAAACCTGATATTTCTAAAACGGTGAGTTATAATTATTGTGATGTTGATGTTAACGATTTTTTGCACGTACTAGATTAAGATCCCTGCGTCGCGCGGGTACAATCATCTATTTGAGATGAAAAGGAATTAACTATGTCTCGTGAATTGCCGCCCTTACTCACCCTGGCCTGTGTTGCCGCATCTAAGCAGCGACCAAAAACCAAACTGAACCAAACCATATCCGAAATTACAGATAATTTTATGCTAATTAAATGCTCTATTCCCGAATTTTAGGGTCTTTTGAATTTTTCAAAATCATGGCTTTAGTCTAGCAGCACCCACCTAGAAAATACAACTTCCCCTTATTGCAAAACAACAAATATTAATCCAATATTAAGAGGTAAAATTTAGGCTCCAGGAAAAAGAAATGCCCCAGCCCATTTTAATTCGTCAGACCACGCAACGTGTCTCCAGTCATCAATAGTTCAATGTATTTTTATTTCAATACGCATGGCTGTACCTTTTGGCTCTTCAGTGTATTTCGAAGAAACGATATTTTATACACACGTGATGAAACATTTATTTTCCTTTTTGTTCGTGGTGCCATGGCACACTGGCACTGCCTTACATGCCGCTACTATATACATGTGTGTTTCTCCCAAGTGATAAAGCAATAGACAAAAGCTGGCGTTTCTAGCTTGCAAATAGGTTTTAAAATATTTTATAAAAATCACACGTTCCGTTTTCTCACGTAAACTTCCTCACAGACTAGGTATCACAAATGATATTTAAAATTCGCGGTAAAGAACATCATGTATAATGCAATGTGAAATAATTAGTTGTGATCCCCAAAATAAAATAACAGAAATCATTAATTTGCTTAGAGTTGTACTTGCCAATAATAATGCTTGTAAAAATCTTTTACTGTGACTAGATGTAGTACTTTATCAAAATTATTATTAAAATAAATGTTCATGTTCCGTCACCAAATCATGTTTTGTTCTCCGATAAACGGATGAAGGAGAATTTCACTATTGAAAGCTGCTATCTCGAAGACGTGCAACTGACTCTAAAATGTATTTTTTTAAGTATTTACTTTTTCTAATAAAATAACAGTCGACTCCGGTTATATTGATTTCGAATATAGAGAAACCTCGGTAATAGTGAAATTAAGTCACTGGTCCTATTTCACTTACATTACAAATAAACATGATAAGACTCGGTTATAGTGAACCACAACCTCGGCTATAGTGAACGTAGGAAATACGCCCTGGAAATTAATTCCCTCCTGGAAAATAATATATTGCCTCAGTGCCACAAATTGCAACATTAGACAACGTGAAAAAAATGTCGGCCAAATGCCCTATTAGAAGTGGTGAAGTGAAGGTAGCGGACTGGGAATGGACACATTATTGGTGACCTTACGCCACTCTGTTTCACTGCGGAAACATAGGCCGTGTCCTGTGTCGGTTGCAAGGGGCCATGCGTGATTGCTTCTTCCGTTTCAATCTTGATGTTACTTGATATTCCGCAGGACAAAGCGTCATTGCGACATCCCGCTACCGAAAGCATCTGTATTTTATTGAGCAAGTCCAAGGGCCTTCGGAGAGCGAGTTGATATCCTAACAGTGCGAGATGCATTGTGTGTCAAGATTGCATTACGATACTTATACACAGAGAGCAATGCAAAATCAATTATGGAGAAAGCACGAATTATGGAGGAGAATCTAGAGAAACTACTAATAACAAAGTATGAAGCAAATAATTGAAAGGAAATTGTTTTTTAAGGACAAATAAAGATATTGAAATTTTTAGTTCATGCTGTTAATGTATTTGGCTGTACTAATAAAGTCAATAGTTATGAAGAAATTCTGTATAATTTTGTCATCAGATGTTGTAAACCAAACATGTTAAAGTCTCCATAAGTTCACTATAACCGGAGTCGACTACATATATGACATGATACAGTGCCAAATTATTTGCATTGTATGTTAAATATTACTAAAATAAGAAATTAAATTTAGATATGAAGGTTATTACTCATTGTCAGAGTCATTTTTTGCTAAAACTCACATATTATTATTGTTTTAAAAGTATTTTTACTGGGAAATTGCATGTCTTTATTTACTTAATTAAATGTATAGTCTCTATTACAATTTATGTAAAAAATTTATTATCAAATATTTACCGTAATATAACTTGCAATCACATCCATTTTGTAATGTTCTCAATGAGCCCATCCTCTCTGAAAAAAGCTAAAGTGGATTGGTAAGCTCGATCTCTCAGGACAGGGCAGGGGTAGACAAACTGTGGTAAAGTTCACATCAGGACATCGCCCATATTTTGTGTTAGTAAGGGTACATTTGTCATTATATTCTCTCCTGTCAACAATTTCTGTAAGTTGTTTAACAAAAAGTAATGTAAAGGTCTTAATTAAACAGAGATTGAATTAATTTACCTAGCCTATAAAACAGATTAACTTTTAATAAATTTTGTTCTCATTCATGCCTTGAATTCATGCCTCTACATTACAAAATAAAATCATTAAAAAAATAAAACTAAAAATAAACACCATAATCTGCAAACTATTTGCCTAATATTATATCAAAGATGATGTAGTATACTGCAACATCAATAATTTCCCAAATGTAAAATGATACAGAAAAATGTTTATTATAGTTGTATGTGGAAGTAATAATTGTAAATGTTGTAACTGGAAGAAATATTACTACATATATAAACAAAAAATAATATATGGGAGCTGCTGGCTTATGCTGGTATTAAGGAAAATGTACAGAAGAATAATGAAACATACAGTTTTGCCCTCACATACAGTTTATTACTATGCCTTTTGCAACAAATTTCATATTACAGTTTTGGTTCTTGAAAAGGCAACTCATTTTCACTGGAGGTTTATTTTTAGTCATTAATTACATAAATACATTAATACTCTATATACAGATAAACACTTCACCGTTTCTTCTTTAAGTTATCACATTTTCCTTCATTTTGTTAACATTCAAGTTACAATTTAAGATGGAAGTCAGAGAGATTTAAGTGCAAGGAAAGTTGGTCTGGGGATTATTATAAACATTTTTTATTATGAAATATGTATAATGTTTTGAATATCTGAGTTGCTAGTGTTCAGTACTGATAAAAATCTGTTGGGGAAGCACAAATAAAACTACATTTACATTACTTTGTAGAAAACCTTGCCATATACGGTCAAAACAATTTACAAAATTCTCTAACTTGTCTTAAAAAAATAAATATGAAATTCCAAAGTCTGAATGCTTTTTAATTTCTTGCAATGCCTTTATTGAATAAGTGAATACCTACCTGAATTTGCAAGAAATTTTAAATATTATATTCAATTGAGAGTTAATCTTTCAAATGTGCATTCTACCTATGAAGTTCAAATTTGCTTCACTGAAGTGTTCAAAAGGACAATCAGACTTTGGTATTCCAAACAAATATATTTATTTTTGCTTATTTGTCTGTGCCCATCACTTGACGTAATGCACCCCTTTACAATATATATATGTATATAATATATAAATATATACAAACTGACAAGTAAATATAAATTATATAACACATATTCTACCTACAATGAAAAAATAAATATACAATTATGCTAATGAACCACCTATGGTTAATGGAAATATCTTACATCCTTTTAATGGCATGTTACTCATGTTCACTTTTTTGCTGAACGTAGAAGAGAGGAATTATGAGGGGGAAAACAAAAAAAAAAAAAGAGGAGAAAAAGCACCGAAGAAATGTGAAAGATCAAATGTGATTGGCCTCTGCCTTAATTTCAATTAGACCTTGAATGATATGTTACTAAATAGTTTATAGGCATTTTCTGATTTTTTTCCTGTTTGTTAAAACAGGATTTATTCATCCAGAAGCATAAAAAGGAATGCACCGGAGGAAGAGGAAAGGAAAGCAAATAAAATTTGCATTTGTTTAATGCATGATTGATGTCATATCACAAGGGTAGATTCCTTTTCTATAAACTGATGAAGATACATCAACTGAAGGAAATATGTATTATCTTTTCTGAGAGAAAAATTAATGTTATACTTGTAAATATGTAGTCTTGAAAATGTCTTGTGGTGCATGAAAATGCCATTTAAAATATGTTGGTTTTTAAGTGAATACACATTGTAAGGATGCCCCAGATGCTGCTGTGTTGCATCTAAGCATCAGAACAAACTCTACATAACACTGATCATCACATTCTTATCAAATACACATTGTAGAAACATTTTCCTACAGTTGCTCAAAGTGAGGACAATATATCTTTTATAGACGACATTTGAAATTACTGAACATGTAACTGTATCCTTCAGCATATTGCAAAATTCTTTTCAAACTTATTTCTTATTTCATAATGAGATCAAGCATAGTTTTGTTTCATTACATTTGACTGTGTATTCTTAGTTAATGAAAACTGCCATAACAAGTGTGTCTTTGATGTAGATTATCTGATGCCACAAAATTACATCTCAGTGAAGTTGTGATGGCATTGTCAAAAATTAATTTTCAATATAATTAACAAATATAACAAATGACATTAGTATTGTGTATTTCAACAAATGCAAGCAATTATTGCTTTTTTCCTTTCCCAAATTCACTTGTACCATATGTTCAATAGGGAAAGCATTGAAAATTATATGAAATTGCTCATTCTCTGAAGATTCATAAAATATGCCCAACAGTTTGATATGTTCAGTCCCTTGGATATGCTCTTCTTTTAACAATAAAAGGGCAAAGTAACTGGATTTGGTATTTTTGAAAGAGCAGAGAAATTCATATGTTTCCGTTTTATATTACAAAAATAAATACATAAATACAAAAGGTGACATTATAATCTAACACTTCACATGGACTTATCTGCCATAAATACATATTTTTCTCATAAATACTGCTGAGGAGACTGTGATAAGAAATAACAAAAAAAAAAAAAAAAAAAACCGTTAGATGGTATCTAATGAATAAAACAATGAAGGCAATAGCTAGTGAAGAAAAAAATTGCAAGGGATTTAGATACTGGTTGCAGAGCTACAACTTACTTTTAAGAACATAAAATTCTAATTTCCACAAACTGCATTGTTTCATTATTTGTACACACAGACATTGTGTAATCTATGGATATTTTCATCTCAAGTGATAAAATTTGAAATATATACAATACAATGCATTCCTGAGTATTGATGGCTGATGTTTTAGTATCATTCATACTTTTGAAGCTATGTTGAAGTACACAATCTATCAGATTTATGATTGAAATACTTTTCATGAACTGTTTTGTTTTGAAAATATCTTGCAAACGCCAGATACAACACAACATAGTATGCAAGGTTAACATCAAGAATTTCTATGTAAAGTTTGATTGCGGAGTCACAACATTCCACCTTACGATGTACGCTGAAAGGAAACAATGTTTAATACCATATCATTGTTTTATACAAGGTCATTTTCTTTAAATTTTATGTAATGTTATACTTCCATATATATTTATATATATAAATCAAGTTATCAAGTTATTATATAAAAGGTAATGCTTTTAGACATCGAAATTTTCTATCCCTATACATATCCAAAATCTACACCATATTCTACTCAGTACAGAAGCTGCTGTTAGGCTCTCTCATAATCTAATTTTGTTTTTGTTTTTTAACCATTGGAATCCATCTTTTTCACTTTCCGATATCAAGCACAATAAATTTACATTTTCACAATCCTTGTATTGACAGCAGCACATGTTTCTTAAAGCAAGGAACACATATATGGATTATATTCCTGCTCACACAAAAAGTATAAACAACCTCTGCAGAGAATAAATCATTATATGAATAGTAGAGAAATACTATTACTAACTCATGCACATGGCCTTACTCACAAATTACTTCAAATAGCCAAAGTGAATTTATGTCAAATATTAGATCAATAGATAATTTGAAATTCATGATAAAACATACTACCAAATTCCAGAGAGCTTAAATATAAACTCTGTTGTATTAGATGCAGGAGAAGGGAAAGTATTAAAGATTTTTTTAATGTTTACAATTTGTAATTCACCTGTGCCTTGTCAGTTTACTTTGTTTACAATAATGCATTTTCAACCATTATTAATCATCAGAACAGTTAGCACAGCACATAAACATTACCCAGGCCCACAAAGAACAAAACAGATCTAAATACAACTAAAGGGTACAATACTATTCACAGGCCAAGCTGGAGAAATGATTCTTCTTGTTTTTCCTCATACCTACTCACTTTCAACCAATACCTTCCCTACCTCCAATGTGGGTGAATGAATGTTGTTAACCAGTGAGATTTTTTGGGTTTTTAGAGTCAGTGCATGGTGCTTGAATTGGGGTTTTCCAAGTTCAGGTCTCTTGTTACTCAATGCAAGCATGTTTAGCATACCATTGTATCAGAGAGGCAGCATCATGACGTGTTCAAATGTTTACTGCATAACCATGTGCACAGTGTTAGTTTAAAAATTCAGTCATTGGCTTAGGTTAGTATTATAGAGTTCACACTTTGGTTTTCCTTCACATTAGAGAAGAGTCTTCCTCTGGAATCACATCAGCCTTTGGTTTCTCTCAAGAAATAACTTGTCAACCACATGATAGTGAAATTGCGCGCACACACACACACACACATTGAGTGCTGCTTCTTTATAACTGGAGTTGGTAGCAGTAATTTCACTTTCCAGCAATGCCTCTTCATGGTCCTAATTTGAGGAACTATTACCTCATTAAAGGTCATGCTAGTCTTGTGTATCTACTTGTACTAAAATAATGATCACACTTGATTGCATCAGTCATATACAAAGTTTATACTGGAGCTAAGGCAGTTTTTTCTGAGGCTCCAAATGATGGTGATTTTAATGAGTCGAACTGTTGTGAGTCATAAGAGGGGACATACTTGTAATGATATGCTTCACATTTAGACTGCCGGTCAGTACTAGTATAGCGGGGAGGAGGAAATGAATTTCGATGGGTGTAGCCATTGTAAGCTGGATTTGGGCAAGATTTAGGAGACACATCCAATTTTGGCTGTCGATTCAGGTAACACTGGTAGCAAATGTATGCCAGGAGAATCATGAAAATCACCAAGAAAACTCCAATGATTAGAAGATACTTCCATTCCTCTAGCCATGCAGAAGTTGTGAATTCTGCCTGATCTGAAAATAAAATCAGCATCACATGAGAATGGTGGGATTTCAAGGTGAGCAAGATCAATGCAAAAAATAACATCAATGAAATAAAAACTTCAGATGAACTAAAAATGATTTGATTTGTGAGATAACATAACAATGTATCAAACCTTCATTCTATATATTCCCTTATCTGAATTTAGCTTGAAATTTCTTCCATAATTTGGAGTTTAAAAAATCTGATGTTTGATTTCTTAATAAATTCAAAAATATAAATGAAATATTTATAACATGACACTAAACACAAGGGTAAAATAGTGATGTCTTCATATTTTCATTCAGCAAATTTCAGGCAACACTACTCAGAGTTTGTGAAAGGGTTTATTTTTGTATATTTTGAAAGTAACTGAATATGCCCAATGAATATGCTCAATTGTGTTAATGAGTTAAAAATGAATTGTATTTGAGAGAAGCAAAATATCTCAAACTATATAAAAATATTGAAACTATTTGTGAATTGAGGAAGGTTTAATTTTGAATAATGAAATAATAAATTTCATTTTATTACCTGGACAAATGGGACAGCACTGATCAGGAACATTTACAGGGTTTGGACATAAAACAGGACATTTCCTTGGTGCACACACATTCTGTCCATCACGGCATACACAGCGAGTACATTGATCATTCAGCCACTCTTCCCCTTCTAAGTAGGTAATGTTGCCTGACACACAGTGCTTGGAGATTCCTTCATCTGAAAAAGAATAGAAAAACCTCAAAACAACTGTTTAATTTTTGCAATTATAAAATTTTATTTCATGCACTCTGGGACAAAATTTTGCAGATCCTGCAGTGAAAGAAATATGAAAAATGTCATTGGTCAGTAAAAGGATGATAAAGTAATAATATTCAAGGATACTCCCCCACCATATATTTATAGTCTCATTGACAGAAATTAATTTAACAATAGTTAATACCTCTAATTAATAGAGATTACAGATATCAGTGTAATGCTTAGGTTTACCATATTTTTGGCCTCAATTAATGTATTGTTCAACATGAATACAGTGCTTGGCCAGTTCTGGTAGATGGTCAAGTATTTATATTTGTGTGTGTGTTTTGTAGCTGGATTGTTTGAAGTAGCAGTTTTGAGGGCTATTTAATACTTCGATGATCTCTGCAGTGAAATAAGTTGGGTTCACCCGATTCAATAAGGATGCTGCCAACTGGGCTGGTGTAAAAACAGCTGGTACATATTCTTAGTCCATTGTTGTGTACAGCTTCCAATTTTTTGAGGACATTTTTCTTTGCTGAACTGTATATAATGGGCTCATAATCTTTTTTTGAACGAGCTAGTGCTTTATATATTATCAAGAGTAATTGTTTATCTGTACCCCAGTTGTTGTGAGATATGTAATTCAAAAAGTTTAGTCTCTTTTTTACACTAAGTGATTGTATTGAAAGTTTATTTACTCCATGATAGTTTGGTATCAAAGTATATTCCCAGAATTTTAGTGCTGGGCCTTTTGGTTTTGATTACCTAGTTTGGGAAGAGGTAGGTTATTTTGCTTATGTTTGAAAAATAACATGCACTCAGTTTTCAAGGCTGAGAACTTGTGACCAAGCATAAATATTATTTAATGCCATTTGAATATTTTCTTGGCTTGACTTGATATTTATACCTTTGCATACAAAGGATACATTACTACAAGATTAGAGATTGTATGGTAATGATATCAAAATTTCCCATTTGTTTACCCATTTCCAAAATTTTGTTCATTTTATGATGTACGACAGTGTTCAATGTATTCACGGACCAAAACCCTATGACTTCATCATGATACTCCCATAGCTTGAAAATATTAGATTTACACAGAATGCTTTTGATGGATTATTAAATACAATCCCACAGCAAACATTACCATTAATTCCCATCTCTGATTTTCAATTTTCTGTACATCTTCTTGTATTTATTGAGATTTTTATTCCTTTTTTTCTTTCTCGTAGTATAGGTAGAATATATGGTTAATGTTCTTAGTATTATAGAGACAATAATGTAATACACCCAAAAATCAATTTCAAGATTTTGACGGAAACCGTTTTGGGGTTTGACTCAGAAAAATCTGCTTTCTCTTCAAAACCTCTTTCTGTCCGACAGGATTTTCAAAATAAATAAGTTAAAAAAAAATTAATACTTTCCAAACATTCTGCCTATGCCATGGTCCCTTGAATTTGAAACTTATCTATTAATTTTGTGGTTTACTATTTTACATAAAAGTCATAGGAAATTCTCAAAAATTGCTGCATTTTTTAAAGAGGGGTCTTGTAAGGATAGAGCACAATACAGTTAACTGTATAGGGTGCCATTTTAATAGAAAACGTTGGAATTAAAAAAAGAAAGTTATACGCTATATTTTTAGAATCTCTCGCTCTTCTTTTGCCGAAGAGTTTTTCAAGAGATGAAAAACAACAAATGATAATAAGTAAATTGCATAACCTTCAGAAATAATACGAGAAAGTATGTGTGCTAGAAATAGTACGAGAAAGTATGTAACGCTGCTAGTTTACAATATTTTGTCATGAAACATACAGACAAAGATACAGAAACTGATCTACCGTGCCCCAATTCCGTCAATTCACAAATTTGCTTGTTTTGCCGGTTTGTATAAAAACAGTAATTTCTTATGTTATAAGTGTCTTATTATTTAAATTTAATTATGCAGTGCGACTATTTAATTAGTGTGCCGCGATCGTAGAAAATTCTGCTAGGCCGACGGGCCCTCATCTCGCAAAAAATAAGATGATCTTCAAAATATTATATAGTACGCGTACCGCACAGTAGTCATGGCCATATAACTACCAAGTAGTGCAACGTAAATAAAACGCTGGGCATTTTGATTCATCATGACTATCACCTCGCAAAATGAAAACGATTCCAAGAGTGTATACTTGTACATTTCCATGAATTCGTAATAAAACATAATGTGCGGAACTGGTACGAGTGTGTTTGGCGTACTCATTTCAACACGGTACATTTTATTCGTACGCCTCGTAACTCACTTTCTGTACTAGATACGTAAATAATTCAAAATAGAACATTTTATTTGCATGCCTTGTACAACACTTCTGGAATAGGTAGGTAAATAATAAAAAATGGATTCGTACGCCATATTCTCACTTGTTCCCAGTTAGCAAATAACAATAGTTACTTTGGAGGAGAGATTATTTGTAGAGGCCCGCAGAGCACCTACCTAGTAGGCAGACGGGGCAGCAACGGTTCTTGGGCAACACCGGACGTGCGCAGGGCGTGGGCGGGCAGCGGTCGGCGAAGCAGTGCGCCTCGCCGTCCACGCACACGCAGCTGCGGCACGCGCGCGCCTCGCGCCACGCGGCCCCGTGCGCGCGCCGCCCGCACGCGCGGCGCGGCGACGACGAGGGTGCGGGCGCGGGCGGGCACTCGGCGCAGCACGCCCCCGGGCGCGGCGGCGCCGGGGCGGCGCAGGGCGCGGGCGGGCACTGGCGCGCCTCGCACAGCGCCCGCCCGCCCTGGCACACGCAGCGCGTGCACGCGTCCGCGCGCCACGTCTCGCCCTCCACGCGCCCGTCCGCGCCCAGGCACACCATCCCTGCCGGCGCGCCTCGCCACGCCAACGGCGCCTCGTCTGCAACACGCACTTGCTGGTTAGGGAGGCAGGGAGAGTTCGTCCTAACACTCAGGTCTCCTTGTCGACGTACGACGATTCCATCCCCAGCCGGGATAAACTGTCTGATCTCGTATTATTAGTGACAACGCAGTGCGTGTATGTGTGATAGGACAAAGAAGAGGTAAGAAAAGATCGGGCGGAATCCTTGGCCCGTTTATTAGGGTAATATTCCGGTATTCACCTGGTGAGCAGAGAAACCACGGAAAGACTACCGACCACATCAATTGGCCGCTAGAATTTCCACACCAGGGCTGAATTGTAATTTATGTAGTATCTAAGAGTCTAAAAACCGCCACTCAGGACTCGAACTCTATTATCCGTTCACCATAAGAAAAAAAAACTGATGAGAACAAATCGAAGAAATCTTTGGGCCACACTACGCTTCTGATTGGACACCTCCCATTGCGGTACTTTCGATGACGCGAGTAGCATACCCCGCCAATTCGAATGGAATAAGAGCTGTCATGCAAATGTCATGTTCATGCAACTACTTTACTTAGGATCAGTCTGCTTGAGGAAGTGGTTGTCAATAACCGGATTTCAATTACTTGTATAAACTGGTTGGCCTAAAATTCAGAAGTTCTTAATTACAATTCACAAGCTGCAACAATTTCACAAGCGTTGGTGTTTGGTTTTTGTACTTTTGCCCGTTTGTTGCAAGGAATGTACTTTCGACCGAACAACACTAACTACAAAGTCATCGTATGCTTCATTCATGGGTTTCTTCCATTTTCCTTTCCTCTCTGGCGTTTGTGCGAGTTGTCCTCTGCCAGTGAGCTCTTTCCGGAGTACGCGTGATACGGATATTCCAGTGAACTCTGCGATTTGCTTTATCGGTAACGACGGATTCATATGCAATAACGAATTGAAAACGTGAAAAACGATGATGAATAGATTTTCCACACTTATGTTTAATTATTGAAGGGTCAACCCCACTCTGAGACATTCTAAAACGAATTGAGCAGAGCCTTGCAGGCCGATCAGCGGCGCGGCGCCACGGTTGCACGAGCCGCATCGCACGCGTCTGTCGCACGTCTAACAGCACATTCACGGGCTGAACTGTCAGGGGCTCGTAATCTTATCGCACGGCAACACGCAGTCAGTTCAGAATGGTCTCCTTTCTAGAAACCGTTGCAATAGTTTTAACGCAAGGTTAATTTAACGAACGATGAAAGATAAATTAGTTCTTATACACAGAACTATTTTCTTAAGAGTCAGAATTCCTACAACAGCAGAGCTCACATTGCAAACCAGTAAGAATCCTCCTAAGTCCTGCATTTGTTTACTTCAGAATTTTTTTAGGGTGAACGGATAATAGAAGTTTTGGTCGCGATGCCGCTGAGGAAACGACGTTGCCGCTGAGCTATTTCAGCCGGTCCAAACGGTTTAGTAACGGCTTCTTCACGCTCCACATCACATACTTAATACGGAGATTTATTCTTATCTTGGCAACAATTTTTCTCATTAACATGGGACCACAAAGAAAATCAGTGATATGCCGATGAAAGAGCAATGTAATTTTGAACGCTATCATTATCAGTCATCCCCATCCATTTTCTCATGAACTTTTTTCAAAATAAATTGGCCAACCTCTGTCGAATTCATTCACAAAAGTGAAAACAATAAAATCGAGTTTGTTATAGTTCATCATTTTCATTTTCATTTCATTCGTTTTCATTCATTCATGCATGCATGCATTCATTCATTCATTTTCATTCACTCATTCATTCATATTCATTTTCATTCATTCATATTCATTTTCATTCATTCATATTCATTTTCATTCATTCATATTTATTTTCATTCAATCATATTCATTTTCATTCATCCACGTAGGTGGGTGACTCGAGAGCAGTGAGCTGCATTGTTGTGGCGCAATGAAAAAATTGATTTCTGTAATTGCCGATATATTTTCGCGAATCCCACCAGACCCTTTGTGTGCCCCAGGTTGAAAACCACTGACCTAGAGTGTAGCCCAGTGCAATCTGAACGTTACAACCTCTTGGTACCAAGGGACCGTCACTTAATAGAACAAAAAACTTCCTTATTTCAGCGTAGTAGTCGGGGGGACAGAAAATTTTGTGTAGACCGCCATTATCGCCCACCCTGGTGCAGCGCATCTACATCGGCTTTTGCAAATTAATAAAAAAAAATAGAAAGTCTTTTGAATTCTTTGGTGTGTAATCGTAAATACTTTCTGCTAACTGTATACAGTACGTGTATACAGTTAGCAGAAAGTATTTACGTACTCTCTGCTTGGTACGGACACGGCGCGCTCTGGCCATACTTCGATCAAGTCCGTTAGCTCTTCGTCAACCGTGCCAGTGTCATCTAATCGGCAGCTCGAACGTCTCTATAGAGGCTTTCACGTTCACGATTGGAAGACAACGTCATAGATGACGTGTCAACGGACTTGTTTGAATCGAAGTATAGCGTAAGCGTGCACCGAGCACGTACGTTCTGTTTGTCAGCGCTGATATACATCATCTGGTGGCTGTATTCGCAAGTACATTGTAAACACTTTCAACCATCGCAGGTAACTCCTGTTAGCCTCTCGAGGGAAATTGTTGCCATGACATATGAATTATATTCGTACATTTTCCCCAATGTTGAAAAACTGACTGAGGTGCACATCAACTGATGTCAGGGACACTAGTTTGATAGCTAGGTCGAATTCAGCCGCTGTCTCGAGGAGAGTTCTAACGGCCGGCCGCTCTGATCTGTAGTTTTCTCCGATCAACACTAGGCGATTGCGGGAGTAATTAACAGGCCACGGACCATTTGCGATCATTCCTTACTCTTCCTCGCCCTATCCTCTCATGTTACTCCCACGTTTGTAAATGCCCTCCACTAACACACGTGACAGGAGAGCACTCGGGGTGGTGCCCCGCTGAATGGAACGTGTAGGTCGGCGTCGGATCACGCCGTCTAGCGGGGGGCGAACACCGCCACCTCTCGCGACAAAGACATGCACTTAACGGAATAACGACCTAGTAGATGACGGGGCAAAAATACGACTTAATCAATCAAATGTATAAAATTAATTTAATAATTATTTTTCAAGAAATACATTTAAAAATGCAACTTTTACATGTATAATTATTTTCAAATAGCATGAGTGGTGCTTATTTACAACAAATGCCTATAACAACTACATAAACTATCATTATTTTGTTATTTGTAAGCTTACCTCGGCAGTGCGGACAGCAGGCGCCGGTAGCGTTGAAGACAGGTGCGGCACAGGATAGCGCGGGGCAAGAGATGAGCGCGCACATCTCCGTGCCCCCGTGACAGTAGCACTGGCGGCAGCCGTCGAACCAGCTCTCGCCGTCCTCTCGCACCTCTCCGTCTAGAACACGCACCCGCCCCGCTGTCACACGAAGCGCTAAGGATACAAACAGAGGGTAGGCTACACCGAGGTCACCGTCGTTGGGAAGACATCTCCGGTGTGGAGGCGATACACTACACCGACAACGCAGAGCAAGTCCTAGATCTGCGTCGTCTTGACATTTCGCTTCAAGAAGCTGCATCACATGTAAGTGGCTTTCAGTCACTGATATCTTTTCGACACTAACTTGTCAGCTAGGTCGGCTTCAGTCGCTGCCTGGAGAAGAATTCAAGAGCCGGCTGCTCTGATCGTAAGTTTTCTGTGGTTTCTCCGATCAACACCAGGGGAATGTCGGAGCATGACCACGGACCGCGCGGTATTTTTCCTTCCTCTTTATTTTTTTTTCATCCGAATGATAAGAATGAATGCACACGCGGCTATATTTATTTGCTTCCATTAGCGGAGACTGTTCTTTGACGAAGAACTACAGGCCAATCACTGTAAGGATATCTTGATACTTTAGTATCAAGACACTCGGCGTGACATATTCCTTATCCACATAGTCATCTTAAATGATGTAAGAAAATGAAAACGTAATTAAAGCGTGACTTGGATTGACTTTTAGAAGGCATTTGACAGTGTACCGCACGATTGGATTTTGAAGACTCTGCAGATCGATCAATTTCATCCCTAACTTAATGAGTTTTTCGAGGCTAGAATGAAGACGTGGAGTAATACGCAACGGAAAGGAAGTAGTAGAGAAGAATAGGAAGTAGAAAGAAGTATTCAGATTAGCAGGAGGGTTTTTCAAGGATGTACGCTATCCCCTCTGATGTTTTGCATTAGTTCGATTCCACTATCTAGACAGTTGTCGCACACTGGCTTTGGTTACAAGTCCCGTTGTGATGAAAGACCAATATCACATTTGTTTAAAATTGATGATTTTGAAGTGTTTGATAAGAATGAAACAATTCTCTCCCAAATGCTGTCCGTCGTCAATGATTTTAGCGATGACATCTTCATGAAATTTGATATTGACAACTGTGTAAAAATCAATTTATAGAGAGGCAAAATTGCAACGTCAGAGAGCATTAAAGTTGATTTGCACACTGTGATTAAAGATATTGAGCCAGGTGAAACCTACAAATATCTGGGCATTGAAGAATGTGAGACCATCTCGAACGACACAATGAAAAAGAGAATTTGCAGGGTGTAGTACAGAAGACTGAGACTTTCCTGCACTGTCAACTCCAGGAATAAAATTTCTGCAATAGGTAGTTTTGTGGTGGCTGTTGCCGAGTACAGCTTCGAACTAGTGGTCTGGACTGAACGAGATATTCGAATCGTGGATCGAAAAACCAATCCAAGCTGATGCACATAGATTTTTATGTGTCGCATAAGGAAGGTAGAAGACGCCTGAGGCAAATTGAAGTCTTTTGACACAATGCAATAGTTGATATGTGATAGAATGTAATTAGTCAAGATATACACTAATGAGACAGGTCATTAAATCTTACCGAAGAGTGGGAAACGGCGATTGTAAGTGTAGCAAGAAGAATTGCAAAGACGACTATGCAATATGCACAGAATAACACACACACACACACACACACACACACACACACACACACACTGAACTTTTGATGCTACTTAATACGAAATGTGAAAATGTTAAAGAAATCTCGAAGAGATAAACCAATCCATGAACAATATCTGAAAATAATGGACAAGGTGCAGATCAATAAAGATCAATTACGTATTGTAGCGGTACGGTATTATTTAAATAAATTAAATAGAATAAAGTAGAACTTAAGGAAGAATTTGTACTGAGGAAGGACCTACGGAGTCACGCGCACCCCCCCCTCTTGCGACAGCCACGAGCCCCCTGACCCACTTCGGCAATTTATGGCAACCCGACGGCCGGAGAGAAGGGTGAATTGTCAGGCGCTCCGCTGCGACCCCGACCGGAACGTTTTCGTGACGCTTGTCACCGTGATCGGGGAAGCACAAGATAATAATTCATTAGCCGGGAAGCCCCTACGGAGACGTGGCCTACTTTCTAGACGACAGAGAAAGTCAGCACGGAGGGACGGAGAAAGAGAATGGAAAATTTCAAGGATCTGCCGGAGCTTATTGGCCAAAATTTGAGTAAGACGCCATCACCTTTGGCCAATAGCGACGTGACCGTCAAAGGGAACTCGAAATATACGAAGAAAAAGGGTGGGGGAATGAAAATCAACCTCGCACAGAGGGAGATACAAATCGGCAGAGAGGCATTCTCAGAGAGAGGTGGGTGCATCTCTGGGGACAGGCATTCACTCGAAGTTTCTAATCGTGAGGAAGTGCAAAGGCACTTACGGGGGCACTGCTTATTCGCTGCAAAATTCGCATTCACTCAATTTTTTTACGAGAGGAATCGCAAACGCAGCGGGAGACAATTTTGTGTGCTCCGCACTTGTGATCGGGGGCCGATACACCCCGGCCATCTATAAGCTCCGCCGAAGCAGCCTCCAGACGACCCTTCGATGACGTCACTGACCGCCGCAGACGCCGCCAGCCGCCGCTGACGCCCTGCTGGTGAGGGTGCGTGCACGACAGCATGCCTGGGAAGGCCACCCCGGCCACCCACAAGCTCCGCCGCGCCCGCACGGGCCTACTGCAGCACATCTGCCACGGAGGGTTGCCAGGCAACGTAATCAGGGTCAATAAAACCTTAGAGACTATTGTCAAAGCGGTGCCGCGCTGAGGCACAGAAAAGTCCTCAAGGACAAACTTGTAATTGTAGTTATCGAATAATTTTTGTATCACTCTTCTTTAGTTGTAAGTTCTTCCTAATTTCTAATTTTTATTTTTTATTTACAATCTTCTTTTTTATCAATGTAACTTCCCTGGTCCAGACATTGCCCAGGAATAAATGCTATTTTTTTTACCAGTAACCAAATTGTTTTCTTTAAATGTCAATGAATTGATCGTACAATTCCTTCCATCACCTAGTGTTAAGATAGGAAAGGGTAGGAGAACCGACTGAGCTTGGACCGAGCCGCTACCGCGCATTTCCGACGATCCCACGTCGCCGGGACTGCGTGGGGGTGTAACAGTATGTGGCTTAAAAGGGAAAGAATGAAGTCAGAATTGGAAGCAGTTGTAACAGCTGCCCAAGAGTAGTCGTTGAGAGAACGACATTATAATAGAGCGGTTCTCAAAGTTTCCCAAAGTGATAAATGCCGCATTTACAAGGAACAAGTAGAAACCATTATTCCTGTCGTCTCAACTTGTCCAATTCTAGCAAAGACCGAATAACTGAAAATACACGACAGGGTGTGTTTACCACCTCCACTACTATATCTGTGATTTTCTCGAAGTTCCAAACACATGTTCCAAGAGGTACGAACACTCACCAAAAGAGATGACGTTTGTTGGACTTTGTACAATGCTCTACGACCAACAAATTCAAACCGATCGCACGATAGCGACAAACAAACTGGGTATGTTATCCAGGATTTGAAGACAAAATATTTCTTCTTGTAGATGTTGCTGTGCCGTGCGATCAAAACGTCGTAACCAAGGTGGCAGGGAACCATAACATTTTTAAACACAAGACTTTGGAAATCGAGATCAGTCGAATGTGTGTCAGAAAAAAGGTCGCCCCTATATTTATCAAAGTCCTGGGATTTGTTCTGCAAAATTTGTGTAAGAACTTGGCTGGACTCCTAGGTCATTCTAAAGACTGGGAAGTGCAAGACATTGGGAGCAGCCCACATGTTGCGCAAAGTATTGTAGAGGCATCGACCGATCCTAGGTCTGCTCTTTAGGAAGTGATTGCAACTCGGAGTAGACTTCATAGTCAGCCGACTGATAGCATCTTTAATAGTGAATTAGATGAATAATATTTTAAATTTTAGACAAAATTTTGGCAACTAAAAAGAAAAAACTTTATTGATTAATACAAATTATTACATATGTTAATTAAAAGGGAGCGGATTTCTATGATATTGAAAATTTTGTCCGTTGTTTCAGGCCATTGCTAAGTGATATTTCTTGACATTTGGTTATCGACAATAGATGTTATGTATATTAATATGTTAGTGCATTTTTGCGCATATTAGGCCGATTTTTCCTGTTGGTGCTTATTCCTGTAATTATAAGAGCATATTTTGCTAAAATAGAGACATATCTCTTAAACATTTCACGTTTTCGCGACATTTATTAGTGAGCGTTCATTAATTAGAAAGGGCTTGTCACATTTTGAGTTTTTTCTTTTTTAGTAGACGATAAAATACTTGTGTATATGCAAATGTAGGATATTTCTTGATATCATTTTTTTAAACCAGACAGGAAAAAAGAAACAAGATTTACTACAGTGTACTTTACTAAGATGAATTCTTGTATTTACTTCAATTATTTTCTCGCAAAGTAATAAGTTTTATTATTTTTGCATAAAAATAATATAACTTTTCATTCCAAGCATCCTTCTCCAGAATTTTATTAAGAAAGGTCTTAACAAGAAATGAAATATTGTTTATTTTAATTGCATATTAAAGTGCTTTTTCAGTATTTTAGGTGATAAAACCATATTTTTAAAAGCATATTTTCGGATTTTTTAGGACATAAAAATCCTCTCCCTATTAATTAAAACAGTGATTGAATATCGATAAGCAATAAGAGATCCAAGCCCCAAAACCTAAATATTGACATAAGAGAATTTCCAGTTTAGCAAAAATGATCAAAGTGCCATCTTTTTGCAAGGAATTTCTTGACATCCACGTGACAATAAGAGTTATGAATTCAATATACAAATTACAGGGGACTAATCCAGTGAGCATGCCGAAGAATAAAGACATATTCTACAAATACTTAAAGATTACAAGAAAATCAATGAAAAAGGATACTTGCAACCGTTGCGATTTACGCAATTCAAAAACGTAACCAGAAAATGATCGAACTTCGAAACTCGAACGATAATCAATTAAAGGTTGCAAGTGGGACCTAAACAAAGATCAAGAAACATGAAAAGAGCAAACAAAGTTGAATTTGAGACAATCACGTTTGATCTTCAGAAGGCATTGCCATTTCTGACAATCCCAACCAACATTGCCTTCTACAAAAGGCAGTTATGGGGTATAACTTTGGAGTTCATTCTGGCTCAACAGGAAAAGGGTTCTCCTTGTTTGGTTTGAAGACACCGCAGGTCGAGGTGCCCACGAAGTAGGTTCGTGTCTCAAGAAGTGCATTGGGAGTAACGTAAAGGAAAATGTCTCTAAACCAGTTTTGTGGGGAGATTCACGCGATGGCCAAAACCAAAACATCAAACTGATTTGATGGTGAAATATTTGATAAAAATTAACATCTTACTACAGTCTCTCTAGGATTTCTGATTCCAGGGCATACATTTCTGCCTTATGATGCCGGTTTCAGTGATGAAGGGCAGGCTCTGAGTGCAGCAGGTATGCACCTACGAGATGACTAAATTAATGTGAAGCTCACCTGTGGGAAAAGAAATTCCCTTGTTGTAACCCTAATGGAGATCCACAATTTTGTTAGATGCTCTCAGATGGAGAAACGTGTCGTGAATCTCAAGGTTGACACCACAGGAAACAAAATCATTTGAATGCAAAACGCGAAATAATGCTGAAAAAGGCAGATCCATTCAGGATGCCCATAAAAAACAACCATAGTGGTCATTGTGGACATCCACAGTAAACAGCGGGGAAGGGCTTATAATATAAATTTATATGGACTCTATGAACCACTGTGGTATAAAGGAAAAGCCATACCAAGAACAAAACATGAAGGCATCAACTCTATAGATTGTACTGAGTGATCCATTGTTTCCAATTATAGTATACTACTTTTTAAATTAAAAAAAACAACAATCCAAGCGACATATTTTACCAACCGCCCAAAGTGTAATTTTTTACAACAAAAATGTTATTGAGAGATTACAAAAATAATTCATTTTTGTCGGTTTTGAGAAAGAAAGCTATTGCACAAATATTAAAGTGAAAGGTTTACTAAATTATCAAGAGATCAGTTAGATGTTTTGGCTCTTGAATCACTATCGCTTATCGTGGTGCAATTCATCAAGTTTAATAATCATGCAATTGTGTAGGAAGCAGTTATTGAAGTGCAACATTTTAGATGATAACTCACCAGAGCTTTTGCAGAGTGTGAACGACACAGCACTTCCGTGTGTAGAGGGAAGATCAGGTGAAGCTACAACAGAGCGAAAACATTATTTTTGCCATTTAATCTCAGTGCCATTATATGTACTAAGTATGCATATGAATATAAAACAATAAAATGAGTTGGAGACTATTAAAACATTTTCTTAGTAGTAAATATCAGAGCACATAATAGATAAAATTATAGCACACATTTACTATGATAAATTCAAGTTAGTATACATAGAACAAATGTCGAGAAAATATGTTTGGAAAAGTACAGATTATAAATTAAAAGAGAACGTAAGAAGATATATGAAGGTAGAAAGAAGGGGCATGTCACAAATGTGTGACTGTCGAGAGGGGAGAAAAATAAAGAATATATCAAGAAGATGCCAGAATGGCAGATAAGTAATATTGATTTCAGGACCCAACACACTCCCCGTTAGAGAGCGATAGGAAGAGAGAGAAGCGAAAGAGGAGAGATGGAAGAGAGGAGGAAGAGAGAGAGGAGAGAGAGAGGAAGAAGAGAGAGAGAGGGAAAGAGGGAGAGAGGAAGAGGGAGAGAGAAGAGTGGAGAGAGGAGAGGAGAGAGGAAGCAGGGAGAGGAAGAGGGAGAGAGAAGAGGGAGGGAGGAAGAGGGAGAGAGAAGAGGGAGAGAGGAAAGAGGAGAGAGGAAGATGGGAGAGAGGAAGAGGCGAGAGAGGAGAGGGGAGAAGGCAAGAGAGAGGGAGAGAGAGAGGAAGAGCATAGAGAGGATAGAGGGAGAGAGGAAGAGGGAGAGAGGAAGAGGGAGAGAGGAAGAGGGAGAGAGGAAGAGGGAGAGAGGAAGAGGGGAGGAGAGAAGGAAGAGGGAGAGAGAAAGAGGGAGAGCAGGAAGAGAGAGAGTGGAAGAGAGAGAGGAAGAGAGAGAAGAGAGAGAGAGGAAGAGAGATAGACGAGGAAGAAGAGATAGAGAGGAGAGAGAAGAGAGGAAGAGAGATAGAGAGGAAAGAGAATTAGAGAGGAAGAGAGATAGATAGAGGAAAGAGAGATAGAGAGGCAAGAGAGAGATAGAGAGGAAGAGAAGAGGGAAGAGGCCGGAGGAAGGGGGAGAGAGAAGAGAGGGAAGGAGAGAGGAAGAGAGGGAAAGAGAAAGACAGAGAGAGAGGAAGAGAGAGAGAGAGAGGGGGGAGGGAGAGGGGGGGAGGAGGGAGCAAGTACCTTTGCACTTGCAGATGGGGCAGCCGCGGTCGTTGACGCGGAAGCCATGGGGGCACGAGCGCTCGCAGTCAGGCGGCTGCATGGGGCGGCACTGGTTGCAGCGGCACACGGGGCAGCCCTGGCGGCTGAGACGGAAGCCGTGCGAGCAGTTCTTGTGGCAGCCCACCAGCGGCGGGCAGGCCGGCGACGGCGTCATCGTCATCGTCATCGCCGTCGTTGTCGTCGTCGTAGTCGTCGACGATGACGAAGACGGCTGCGCGCAGCGGCACAGCGGCTGGCCCAGGCGGTCCAGCAGGAAACCCTTGGGGCACTCCAGCGTGCACTCCTCTGCGCAGCGGGAAAAGCTCTTTACACGAGGCGCCATACGCAACGATCTCGCAACAAGAGTCGTTTATTACGGAAGACAATGAAGGAATGACTTAATCTACGTTAGAAAACTGTCACTTCAAGAGTGAAGAAGTTGGGAGAAAGCTATTTTTCTTGAGTAGATAAAGTTTCTTGATCATTGTGTGGAGTATGTAATTTTTATTTTATTTGTTTTGATAAAATATTGTTTTAAAATACACAAAATATCTTACATATATGGAGGGAGATAGATGGAGAGTCATAGAAAGAAATCGACAGAGAGATTACTGATGTACAGTATTAGAGAATGCAAGGGTCGGTTTTAGAAATAAAAGCATTTCTAATAAATTTATCGTAATCTTGCTTCCCTCAAGAATTTCAAGGTAGTGTTTCATCTTCTAAAAATGTTTTCCGTTGACAAATATGTTGGCACACTCGTTGCTTGTGTTTGCACACAAAAATGGCAAATGTATAAAATGAAAATTATATTTCTATCAATTATAATTGAGAGTAATAGCTCTCACATATTCTAAAGTAGATTACGTGCGCGAGAAACTTTCTCGCACCACCGCCAGGGCAGGCATCAGATTGAAGTCAAAATTATTACTCTGAGGTTTTTACACAATTATTCCCGTTAGGTAACTTCTTTAACATTTTCAATCAAATACAAATATAATTTCCATTTTATACATTTGCCATTTGTGGGTAAAAATACAAGCGACGATTGTGTCAACATATTTGTCAGCGGAAAACATTTTTAGAAGATGAAACATTAATTTGAAAATCTTGAGGGGACAAGCTGACGATAAAGTTATTAGAAATACATCTAGTTCTGAAAAACGTAAGTATGTAACAGTAAAAGAGAAAGAGAGCGTCAAATTATCAACGTGTTTAACTTGTTTCGATTTCATTTGGCAAAAGAGTGTCATTTGGAGCAAAATTTTAAAAAAAAGTTGGATATAAATTTGTATTTGCAGAACAAATATAATTTTCTAAGATTTAACAAAACTCCATCTGATATTGGGTTAAGTACCCAGACGTTCAGGATTATTTATTGCAACCAAGAACCCGTATACTGATTCGTCATGATTGACAAGCCGACGGATTTTGTCCGCGACAAATATAATAATCTCATGCGTTACGACCATTTGCATTCATGTTCACCGAAACGGGTTCAACGATTTGAGTAAAAGTGTCACGTAACGTGAACTTGTGTGGGAAACGTAAAAGGAAGCGCGGTCGGGCGGTGGCGTGGTGAGGGCACTTACTGGGCTCCTGCTTGCAGCGACAGGTACTGCAGCCGTCGTCTCCGGCCTCGAAGCCGAACGGGCACTGGTGGGAGCACGTCATTTCGGGGCAGTGCGCAGGCCACACTGCAAAGGAGGCATCTTGTCAGTAACATCCATCTTAGGGCTAGTGGTAACAATGCACGTGAGAGGAATAGAACAATGCACGTGATAGGTGTTTTGGTTAAGGGTCTATAAAACAACATATAAAATCCTTACAAGCGTAATTATAATGAAAGTTGGTTAATGTGGTTTGGTCAACGAAGTATAACAGAAGTATTTAGTTGTTTACCAATGTTTCGCAAACGGTATTCTTTCGTATGTACGTACGGTATTCTTTTGTTTGCCAAAATTTACTCAAATGCATTTCTTTAATATCACTTACGACGTTTAATATTTATATTACCAGCAATTTGTATACATTATTGCATTTGTGAATCAAAGTGATTCAAATGATTTTTAATTAAGTTTCTTCAAAACCAACAGTTTTTTGTGAAAAAATACTTTAAATGTCTCATTTAGAGAAACGTTCAAACTACATTTTCTCAAAAATGGCCCCAAATTTTTCAACAAAAAATTCCATATGAGACGATCTTTTATACTTTTATTATAAGTCATATATCAATTTCACCATTATGAGACCGAAAAATTGAGAAAATTTGAAAATAATACAGTTTGTGCGGCAGTAGATGGCAGGTGGGAGGGGAAGTAGGCAAAATGGAAATGCTAGGTCAGACTACAGAAATCAGAAAATTAACAAGTACTTGAAAGACTGGGCCATTCTGAAGCACCACTAGTTCATATTAAAAAAATCAAATAAACCAACATAGTGTAATCCGTTGATTGCCAGTCCCGACATATGCTCTGATCAGGTCTCCCGTATGTTTTGGTAACATATAGGCCGCTGTACCCTAGTGCGTGAAAGCTCAGACTTTGCCCTTGCATGCGGTAGATGCGGAAAGCTAAAGATACCGTCACAGAGCATTATAGTTTCTCGTTCATTTACATTATGTCTTCATTTTCAGTACAAATTAGTTGCATGTGGATGGGATTTTCTTCGCCCAAGGAGAAAATGAATCGTTACATTCCGATCCAAATTAATGATACAATTGATATACTTTATAAGTATGAACGTTTCAACGACAGCCAGTCAGAAAGCTAACAATTTGACCTTCAGAACCACTATTAATGATTGATTATGATTAAAAATTGCCTTCTCTGATCCACAATGTGGAGCTAATTCGAACCATTATGTTGCAATTTCTGAGAAAATAAATTTGTAAATTTCTTTCGTTTTGAAATTTATCAAAGAATGATTATACTGGTAATATGAAATGCCAGAAGCCTAATTATGAAACACTGCATTACAATGGAATTCATTGTTCATATTAATATTCTGAAATTATGTTGCCCCACGATTTCATTTTGTAACGGTATTTTTCCTTTCGTAAGGCCAAAAAGTAGTACACACATACCTATATCAAGCTACCAAATATTGTGCTCGAAAATTGCGTTACTCCTATATTAAACTAATTGGAAAAACGTTCTGTTACCTTGAACTACAAGGCTGAATGTGAATACTTCCTCTTCCTGCAATAGATCTTAACGTTACTAGTACACTAGTACAGTGAGTCTAGTGTGCAAATGAAATGCTGATCATGAAGGTGACGATTGGAGCAGAGTTCGGATTTTTGAAATGAGTATGCCAAAGACACTTTCATAGGCGTTGCGTACAAAACTTAAAAGCATATTATCTTGATTGTAGTGTTGATTGATGTCACTCGAGAGTTGTATCCAGTTGTTTTATACAAACATGAATTCTTTTTGGTGCGCGTACAGCAAAGTCTGTTTTGAAGTACGAGGACCGTATATGTGCATCAAAATAGCATACTCTTATGTATGCGTACGCCAAGGTCTATTTTGCCGTACACATACCTCAGGATACTTTGCGGTAGGTGTGCGGCAAAGTCCATTTTGATGTACGCATACCTCATGTTATTTTGCGGTAGGCGTACGTCAAACCGCATTTTGCCGTCCACGTACCCCAAAGTGAATAAACCGTTAGTGTGAGAGCTGAAACAGAGGGTTTGACGGGGACCCGCTCACCGTCGCACACCGGGCAGCACTCGCGCGGGTCGTGGCGGGGCCGCGCGCACGCCACCTGGCACATGAAGGCCTCGCAGCGGCGCGCGCCGCCGCGGCACTCGCACGTGGTGCAGGCGTCCTCCTGCCAGCGCTGGCCCTCGCGCATGGGGCGGCCGGCCGACGTGACGCAGCCGCCGCCGCGCGCGCCCCCGCTGCCCGGCGCCGGCTCTGCAACACACACGCCGCCCTCCACGTCACGTGGGCTCGTTGCGCTCCGCGGGAATTGTGGGAAATGCATCAAAAGTGTGGAAAACGTGTAGGGAGACGAGAAATGTAGTACGTTGTCTACAGATGGAAGGTTTTGAACACTTGATTTTTAGGTTAAGTGGTGTACGGTGCAGGGACGTGAAGAGGGAGCGACATTTTCTCCCACTTTTTTTCTCATTTGTCTCTCGGCTCTTTTTTGCTGTGTTATTGTTTTCTTTATTTTAAATTAGTGGAAATTAATCTAGAGGGTGACTACGTGTGGTGAAAATGAAGTGAAGTGTCGTGAAAGGTACGATAAATGAAGTGTGTAGTCAACGCATAAAATAATATTGAACAGTTAAAATTTAGATTAAGTGAAATGAAGAAGTGTTTTTTTTTCTAAATTAATCAGAATTTTTCTCTCTCTTTGTTTTTCATCCTATCTTATTGCTACTTTAATATGTTTTTGCTCTTTCACTTAAAAATTTAGCAAAAAAAGAGTGATAAGTTGCGGTAAAAGCGAAGTGAAAGGTAGGGTCAAACAATGCAGTGTGTAGCCTACATGTAAAAGGTAATTCCCAATGATGAATGAATGAATGAATGAAGGAAGAAAGAGAATCGCAAGCCCGACTCACCGACGCACACAGGACAGCACTCCCCGTCGGGGATGTCGGTGCGGCTGCAGCCGGCGGGCAGCGGCGGGCACAGCTTGTGGCAGAGCACGCTGCCGTTGCTGCAGGCGCACACGGTGCACGCGTCCAGGCGCAGCGACAGCCCGTGCTCCAGCGAGCGGCCGTTGAGCGCGCACGCCGCGCCGCCCGCCCCCTCGCCGTCTCCGTCTCCGCCGTCGTCGTCCTCGTCGTCCTCCTCCTCCTCCCGCTCGTCCTCCGGGACGTCCGGCGGCGCGGGCGGCGGCGCGAGCTCCGCCAGCGGAGGGTGGCTGCGCACCCCGCGCCCTCCGGAGCGTGCACGCCCTGCGCATGCGCACGCGCGCCCCGCGCTCAGCCCACAGCACCCCAACAAGCGGGCCACGGACCGCGCGCGGAACGACCTTCCTCTTCCTCACGCTCACATACGCTTGGGATAGGCCACATGACTCCAGAAAACCTAGCTGCCACTTCGCTTGCTTTTGAAAGCAGTTGGAAGGTACGGTGGAATTTTGCACAAGAATTATTGCTGGAATTCAGACGCCTAAAGAAAGAAACGAGGGAAGTATCATGATCCTATTTGACTAATTAAAAACGTCATGTGACTGGGCCACAATCACACTCTCCGCGATGTAATTCCTAAAGGCGGATCCGCGGAAAGAATGAAGGGGAAGGGAGGTACGGTTTTAGCGAGTAAAAATCTCACACGCGGGGTAGTACGGGCTGCCCAGGCGCTTGAAGATTTCTACCTATCCTTGTAAAAAAAATGCACTATACTACCGTACAGCTCGGCAGGCCAGTAATAAGTCAGTAGTGCTGGTCTCAGAACGGGCGGTGCCCTGCAGAGATGACACCTGGAACACCGCAAACCGACATGTAGAACGATCGGTGCCGGATCTCATGTTCTGGATGGTGGGGAACACCGCCACCTCTCCAGAGAGCGCTTATGGAGCTAACGTAATGTAATGACCTCAGTAGTTGACGTCTCCGGAATCAATGAATACCCACTCACTCGAGGAAGGAAAGAGCGCGCGCGGTCCGTGGCCCGTTTGACACGATGCTGCTCCTGCATCTGATGGAGAAGATCTTTGGGATGTGCACCTACAGTCTACGTCAGGAGTCCAACTTGCAAGGCCTAAGGGGCCACAACTAAAATCTATAATACGGTTGCGGGCCATATTTACATAACTCAAGCAACCTGCATCTGACTTCTGCGTATCGTTGATATCAGCAGTTTGCCCGGCACCTGCCACGAACCGGGAGAGGGAGGAATGGAACCATACGTGTAAGAGGTCGTACGATGCACTAAACTCATTAGGATTATTTTGAATTTCTTTACTAGAAAAATTCCTTAAATCTAAGTTTAACCTATTTTTACATTAAGCGGGTGTTAACCCCGGCAGGGCGCATGCGCTAGCCGCACAAGTTCTCTCCCGACAAGGATAAAAAGGGTAGTCACTTTCAGCTAATAACCTTTCGCGGGCCACAATAAATGGCATTGCGGCCCGCTAGTTGCACGACGCTGGTCTAGCGTAATCCGCAGGCATGCAAGAGGCTTACCGGGCGGGGCGTCGGCGGAGTCGGGGCGGGGGTGGCGGGCGGGCGTCGTAGGCCGCGCCAGCAGGCGCCGGGGGGCCGTGGCGGCGCGCGTGCGGCGGGGGGCGGCGCCCGCGGGGCAGGCGCGGGGGGGGGCGCAGGCGCGCGGCAGGCACTGGCAGCCCTGCGGCACGGAGCAGCAGTCGCGCGGCCCGCGCCGCCCCGGCAGGCGGAAGCTGTCGGACGGGCACGCGCCCGACTCCGTCGGGCACACCACCTCGCTGCAGTTCTTCTCTGCAACACCCACCGCGCACCTCGGCGTCAGCGCTCAGCCCCAAGAGTAACAAGGTGTACACAGGTTTACATTATCTTTTTCTAGGTTGGCGTACGTCTATTAATTTTCACTTTTATATTCGGCCGCCTTAATGACATTAGTTATCAGTATACATGAAGTTGAAGAAAGAAATGAGCAGTCAGTTGGTGGGCTAGAAATTATAAACATACACTCTTCTGACCGTTCAATGACGAGTCATAAAGGGCCAGATATTAATGCTTTTGGTCAGATGTTGAACACGAAACATATTGGTTGTATATTAATAGCCATGATTTGGTAGACTTCGGAAGCGTTGCCCTCTGCCTAGCGCTCAGGATGAATAAGAGCAACCGTCTTGGAGGCACAATTCAATCCACTGTTAGCCTGCTGACACATAGGCTACAGAGGTTTTCATTCAATTTCGTTTCCGTCCACATTTGTATGCCTAGTATGTCCGTTTATGTTCACTTTCATATTAGGTCGCCTTAATGATATCAGTTATAAGGTAAAGAAACAAGAAGCTGATGAAGAAAATGTGTAGCCAATTGGTGGCCTAGAAATTATAGAAAAATGCACTCTTATGAACATTAAACGACGAGTCATAAAGAAATAGATGTTAATGTTTTTGGTCTGGAACTGAACATGAAACAATTTAGTTATATATTTATAGTCGTGATTTGGTACGCTTTTATATTCTGGCCCAAGGAGAATGTGCTTCGAACCAGGGATTTGAGAGCCACTCCGCAGGAGAATCTGGACAATGACTGTATTGTTTAATCTGCAACACGCACCGTTCGCTCTTAGGTCGTTTTCACACGGAGCCACTGGGTGGCGCCACAGAAGAGAATCGGGGCCCTTGCCACACAGCCACCGACCATCGCTCCTGCGCGTGGGAAAGGAAAGATTAATGGATCGCCGCTGTGAGCGTTGGCGACCGCATCCCACTCAACACGTAAGTTTAGTGGCTCTTTCGAGAAGACGAGAGGGAAGGCTGCGCTTTAGGACTGGTTAGTTTTACTACAATACTTCGATAGCCGCAGTCCTACTCGGAAGCGCTTTCCAATGGCTCCGTGTCAAGGGGCTTCGACGCTGTGGCCGAAGAAACGAGACCCTCATGGAGGCAGGGATAATTCACTATCACAGGGGGATTTAATGACCAAGCCAATTATGTCTACACAGGCTTACATCCACTTTCATATTCGCCCACTTTCTTTTTCTTCTAGAGGGTCTGTGTCCATGGGCATTTATATTCACTTTTACATTAGGCTGCCTTAACACTGTTAGTTGGAATTTTAAACTACATGAAGCTGAAGAAAACTAGTAGCGGATTGATGCGCTAGTAATTACAATTTGGTTCCCTTCTGAACATTAAAGGACTGCATTTACAGGAATTGGGTGTTAATTTATTGGACCCAAATTGAACATTAAAATATTGTTAATACGTATTTACAGTTAATTGTTTGAAATATTTCATGTCCTGTTCCCATGCTCACCAAACATTGATTTGATAACCATCTGTAGTCCATGAGAAGATTTTGGAGAACCTATTAGAATAACAGATGGAATAATTCAGGAATTTAAGGCAAGTAAGCAATATCGCGGAAATTTACGAAATAAGTAAAGATGCTTCAATTATTAAGTAGTAATTAAACTAATTTCAATAGTTTTTTAAAACTATTTCGCTTTTAACATGTAGTTGTAATAAAATAAGCATTTCAAATTTGGTTGTAGGGGAATTTCGTTCTAATAAAATAAAAGTAATATGACTATTCCTTTAAAACTGCATTTATTTTTTAGGAAGTTAGAAGTGTGGTCAGCGTGTCGTAAAATTACGAACTTACTGCTCCATTTTGAGGTTCGAAAGGTTGGCAGCCGCAGCAATTGTCCTAAGGGAACGTGCATTGGGACTGTGGCCATTACTGGTTCAAGGGCCGGTCCGTTGGCCATTATGACATGGACCTTATGGAGTGACGAAATTGATACAGAGAAAGCGATAGCAAGGCAGAGCTTTAGAGAGGTAGCTCGTGAAACAGAGAGATAGCTCGGGAGATAGAGAGGTAGTTCGGGTTGTAGAGAGGTAGTTCTGGAGATATGTAGTTAGGGTTATAGAGAGATATACTGAGGATGTATAGGCGTTGGGGATATTGAGAGGTAGATAAGGGAGTGATTTGGAGAGAGAACGAGAGGCGGAGGGCGAGAGATGTAAACAGAGTGAGAGTGGCAGGGTACCTCTGGGCGGCACGCACTCGTACACGTCACAGCAGTCGCCGGGCACTCCGGAGCCGCGCTGCTTCAGCTCGCGCCGCGACCCGTTGCGGCACACGGGCGTCACGCAGCGGCCCGGCGCGCACGCGCACTCGCCCGTCGCTGCCGCCGCCGCAGGCGCCGGGGACGTCGACTGCGCCGCCGACGCTAGGGACGACGCCGGCGACGCCGGCGGCGAGAACGAGGGCGAGGCCGTTGGCGTGGGCGAGGGGGAGAGCGAGGGCGGGGGCGGCGTCACCAGCACCGAGTCGGGCGGGCACGGCGGCTCGTCGTCGTCCAGCGAAAGGCACGCCGCTCCGCTGCAGTTGCGGCCGCTCTCTGCAACAGGCGCGCGCCCGTTCGAGCGGGGTTTACTCTTTGGTCTCGGGCAGTGCGGGGCATAAGACATACAAAACAAAATGACAAATATATATTTATATATATATATATATATATATATATATATATATATAAATTTTCCATTAAAATATTTTAAAATGCTACATATTACATATATTACATGTTACAAATATGAATATTTAAAATGTTAAGAAAAATATTGGGAGGCGCCTATTCACGTGATTAGTCTACTTATGCATTATTAATCCAGCTATAGGTACAAATACACATGTAAACAATTACATGCATAATTAATAATCAGCAACAAAAATTACTGACATAACTGGTGAACAGCTTCATGCTATCACCTAAACTCAGATTAAAACTAAAAATAGGTTAAACGATAGTTAACAGAGTATCTGGATTTCTATACCTATAAACTTAACTACTTTAAAAATTATTCTTACCGAGAGGGGTTTTGCTTTAGAATTTTTTCAAAGCAATATTTCTTTCTTTTATCAAAACTGAAGTTACTACTGTCGTTGACTGGCAAGGGACATTAGAAACTAAAGGTGCCGACACAGGCTCCACGTTCGACGTAAGCATTGCTAGTTACAGAGCCCGCCGCGATAATGTTTATCTTTGTGAAGAAATACAAACATACAGAAAACAACATAGTACAGAAACATATGTACACGAAAATTTGCAAATATTTACAAAACACAGGAATTTATATTTATAAATATTTACATTAAAATACATGCCTCTACTAGAGTAAAAATCGGCTCTCACAATACACATCTAAATTTAACTTCCGAATGTAAATATACACATTCTCCATTTTACTTACTTCTTTTCATTATTTCTTTTTCTAAGTATCAAGTGTGTTATGTACTTTGCCCTTCTAGATACTACTCCCACTGTGATACATTTCTTGAAATCAAAAGTTTTTTATCATTCGGGTATACTAAACGCAATAAGAATTTAAAATATAAGGAGTTTTAAACAATGAAATAAAACTTTCATTGCTAAAATTTCATTTCCCTTGAACTCTGATGTGTGAAGAATGAGCTAAAAGACACCTCGAACAATCACTACGCGGAGAGAATATAATGAGTATGACCAACAAACGAAGTTTTGCTCGAGCAAATTAATTCCTGAATACAGGAATGATAGATAGAGGTATGTTTAAAATTCAGAACAAAGAGAGTTAGAAGACATTTTGTGGATGTTATTAGCTATCACCACTAGAACAGCCGCGATAGGTCGGGGATACTGAATACAATATATCAGCAAAAGAAAAAAATCCGCTAAACACAGGAAAGCGAAGGCCAAGTTCTCGAAAAATCAATTCTTAGTTACTGCGGCGAGAGCACCATCTCTCGGAAGCAACAGGTGGGGGAAGAGCAGCTACCACGGCTCTTCCACCAGCAGCACTCCGAGCAATTGGTGCGTGATCGTGCCAACAGATGTCGCAGGAGGCCTTCTGAATCGATGCCAAGTTAAGCAAGTCGCTTTCGCCACATATTCAGTTCGTCTAGTTGAAATTGACTCTTTTATCCTTACTTGCTAGACCTATTTCATGATCTACCCTCTTACTACATCAATGAATAGATGAATGGAAATTGAGGGAGAGAATAAGTAAGATTGAGCATGATTGAAAAAAAAAAAAATTAAAAAAGGAAGGAATGAGAATGCGAGTGAGAGTAAGATAAGAATGAAGGAAAAGGAAGAGAAAATGATAAATGGAGTGAAGAGAAAAGGATTTAGAGAAAGAGCGACAAATGGGAGAGCATGAAATGGAAAGAAGAAAAAAATTAGAAAGAAGAAAAACAGAAGGAGACAACCGGAGGAAAAACAAAAGAATACGGGAGGGGAAGAGGCATCTATAAGGAGATTACTATTCTCACAGAGCCTTCTGTGATGGGGCGACTAGTTACTACATAAGTGCCCTTCCGAATTCTACACTTTTGCGGAGTAAGGGCATAATTGTTGCGCCCGTTTTCCCCCAATTACGCCCTCCCTCCGCGGCCCTTTCCATTTACGGCGGAGCCTTTGGCAGGCGCGAGCCCTCGACGCGACTCAAAGCAACCGGTGCGGCGAACATCTGCGAAATTTTCATAACAAACAAGGCGTTGTGCGTAAAGAGCCTTGTTTAATTAACCCCCGCGGCGGGCGGCAAGATGCGAGCGCGCGGGCTCCTCAAACACGCGAAGCGCCCGCACCCCACAAAGCGGTTTCCCGCTTCAGTACATTTTAAATGAGCGACTTCATCTACGAAACAAGAGCAAAGCAGATCGGTGAAAAAGGAAAGAAATCAAACGAAGAAGGAGACGGAAGAAGACAGATGTGAGTTAGGGCAATTTAGATGAGGTGTATATGTCTACCATATAGCGCCTATTAGCAAAGAACGTGGCCGCTCTGCAATACTCGACTGTAATGCGGGTTGCCGATCCAAACGTTAGCAGGCGATGGAGGAGATGAGTATTCCATGTTCCTCTGAAAATAGTGTGAAAAATATATTACATCCCTTCAAATCTTAGTAAAGATGATGCACAGATGTATTTAGATATATAAATAATTGAAGTAAAAGCCTTCATACCCTTCGTTTTCGTATTCTCATGTCACATCTATTTTATGATTCAATTCAATTTTGAAACCCTAAGGTACCTCATGGGCAGTGTAATAGCTTCTCGTGGTGGGATCCAGGGCTTGATTTCCAGTCAGGACAAAAAATAGACCTGTAGGTATACTTAAAATGTAATATTGTCTTAGTTTATGTAGCTCTGTGACGAAGAAAAGCTCAGACAGACGGAGTTTGCTAGATACGGTGAAGGGAAAATCATGTTAGCTTCATCTCTCTCATCTCCCCCCGGCACAGAGGAAACCGTTAGGTGGCCAGCGAAGTGGGACAATTGACCCAAAATGCCAAAAAAATTCACTTGATTTTGGAATTAAAATATAAAACAGACGTAACAAGAAAATTGGAATATACATATCATCAAATTCGCAGGAAATATATATTATCGAATTTGTTTAGGAAACTGAATCTAAACAGTAATAAACGACCCGTAGTCATAAGGGGTACTGCAGCACCCCTTGTGAATGTTGTAATACTTGACTCAGTACGAAATTGACGTAGAAATAATAGTAGTGTGTGTATTATCGATCTTACTGAATTGATGATGACAGGCAAATATATTTTTCACATTTCAACCCGTCTCAAGATATTTCTATACATTTTTGAGTCAGATATCTTATTTAGAGTTCTAGAGAGAAAACTTTCGTACCAGGAAACACTTCTCTCCCTGTCCCTCACAACCTCCTGAAGGGTGAGATTTGCGTCTGTATTAATATGTAATGTGCATGTAAAAAGTATGTGAATTCTGGTAAATTGTGAAAACTAGTGGAGCTACAACAGCACTTACTCTCTCACGATATTGTTAATGACTATGTAATATTATAATATGACAATGTCTGTCTTACACTTCAATAAGCATTTTAAAACTTCTTAAACAAAGTGTGAAAAAGACATATATTCAAAAATTCAAATGCTTAAACGAAAACAAATTTTGTCATTGAATTCAGTGTATTCACGCTCTGTGTATTCACATACCAACGCTCCACGATGCGTATTTCAGTCGTAAATACAACTTGTAGTTTATATTAACGCGACAGAAAAGGCAACAGTCATTGCTTTCTGTTATCAGTGCGGCATTATAATAATGAGTTACAAGTAACAATCACATCTAATTCGTATGGGATACACATTTTGCCAATTAGTATTGTTGATACTGCTAGCAATAAAATGGAAGCGGATTAAAAATATATTTTTATATTCGTCAAAATTAATCGGTTTTTACATGCTTTACTTATCATGTAAGTAAGTATATCATAAGTAACATTCACACATCTTATTAAGCACAGCGAAATCATCCATTCGTTTTCACATTCAACTCAATTAAAGGACTCTATTTAAAAAAGGTTTTAAATAATTTCTGAAATATTAATTTTAAAACTTATAACAAAACTCGAAGAAGTTACGAACAAAGAAATACGAAATAATATATAATTCTAATTTAAGTATTTGATTTTTTATTGACTTTGATATTGACGAGTATACGTTTTTAATTTTTTCAATTTTCGAAAAATCAAGAGTTTCAATCAATATGAGGCTTGCATCATTTTCTTAAACGTTCTTCAGACTATCCAACAACAAAATTGTATCGAAATCAATGGCGCTATTTTTTCAAAATGTTCCAGAAGCTTCATGTAAAGTACCCCCCCCCCAAAATTAAAATATCGATTTCAAATTGAAGGGCCCGCAACATCGGCCATATCGGTCAGGAAATATTTATTTTAGAGAAAATAGGCTGATCGGTTTGGCCTATAGCGTTGTTCACAGACGGACAGGTCAGATAGAAGACGATAACGGACAGACACGCGCTTTCGACTGTCAATAGACTTTTCGGTATCAAGGACCCACAAAACATCGATTCTGGCAACACCACGTGTTAGAGGATTTTTTCTAAATTTAGCAACTAAATTTATATACATTTTCGTTACCATGGCCCAGCAAGAAGAGTTTTTCTGGCGAAAATTTGCTGGTGTTTTTAACGCGCAGCATTACACGAACTTTCTCTCCATAAGGGTAGCGGTAGCGAGAAAGTAATGTATGTGATGATGACGGAAAAAGAGGGTTGTAAAATGAAGCAAAGGCAATCATTAGAAATGAGTTACTCTTGGAGAGAGATATCGCATGGAATCAGAGAGACACGTTCATGAAAATATTCATTGAAAAGCAGTTTGAAATTTTCTTGTAATATCGGAGAAAACAACAAAAAACCAACCTTTCTGCAGTATATATATATATAATAGTATATCATATATATTATAATATATATATATATATATTATATATATTATATATAGAGAGAGAGAGGAGAGAGAGAGGAACAGGAGACTAGAAAGGTCATAAAGAAGCACAGAATGTAATGAAAGTAATTCTATTGAAAGTAAATCCCCATTTTATGTCCATATTTTTGTTTTTCCGTCCTCGTATACGGAGTA